TCAGGCTAGTTTCGAACTCCTGAGCTCAAACAATCCGCCCGTCTCAGCCTCCCAGAGAGCTAGGATTACAGGCGTGAGCCACTGCGCCCGGCCCTGCATTTTTTCTTTTCTAAGATGAATGTAATTCAAAGGATTGAATGATTTGGAAAAGATACATGAATCTCTATGAGTAGTTCTCACTGACATCTTTCCAGGCTGAAGGGTTGTCTATCCTGGTATCTGGAGGAAGAAGGGCCAGGCCACAGCTGCAGCTCCAGCCCTCTGCCTCCGAACCCCACCCAGGGGCAGAAACCACTGACGGCCCTGCAGCTGTGGACAAAGGTCCAGAGGAAAGGCAGAGACAATCGAGGGCAGCCAGGTAACGGGTGACGGTCACGACCACCTGCCCTGCACCTGCCACCTGTGCAGCCACAAGAGCAGAAAGGGGGCAACACAACATGCAGAATCACCACACACGCTTCTGGGGGGCCCTGGGGGAGGCCCACGTGCCAGGAGGACCTAGGACTGCTAAACTACTTTGTTACCAAAAGGACATTTTCCAGATGAAAAAGAGGTGGGTCTTGATGGGGAAAAGTTTAGCAACAGAACTGCACTGTCCAAAAGGCCAAAGATTTAATCTAGAAGAAGCATTAACCAAATATTACCCCCGTTCAGGTGCAATTTTTAAAGCTGAAAATAGGTCAATGTCTCAGGCAGATGAGCCATGTGAGATATCTGGGCTGCGTGACCTCAGCAGTTCAGAGAGCTCAGCCTGCAGCTAACTGTGCAGGGGGGCACCACCACTCGGGTGCTCTCCACCCGCTCTGTGCAGAGGAACGGTGCTGCTGCCAGGGCGCAGCACCCGCCTGTCCTGGGCACTCTTGGCTCTGCTGTGCTGGCACGGGGGCCACGGCAGCTCGTTACTGACCTATGTGGGCGTGGGCTGTGAGGCCTGCGAGTGCGGTGGCAGCGGCAGCCCCCGGCGTGGTGGCAGCACTGGGAGCAGCAGCGGGTCTCCCTCCCGGGTGAGATGAGGTGGAGGATGCGGAGGATGAGGTGGACGAGCCCTGAACGACCCGGTCGAGCCAGGGCTCGACGCTGGGATGGCTCTGGAGCGGAGTGGAGGTGAGTCGCCCAGGTCGCCGTAAAGAGCCCTCATCTTCTGAGGCAGACGACGTGTCTGTGGTTAAAATAACGATGACAGGCATGATGTAGGGATGAGTCCAGAGGAGGACGGAGTTCCCACGTGCACCAGAGCCTCCCAGGCCTGTGCGTAGCTTCTGTGCACCTGGCACAGCTCTGCCCAGACGTGGCCAAGCAGGCACCTCAAAGGTCACCCTCAATCTAGAGAGCGTGTCAGGAGCCCTACTGTGGGGAAAATGGCTCCGTGAGCCCCAGCGCGCCAGGGAGAACTCAGCCATGGGGCACCACATGCCAGGCGTGAAGAAAGCCTCTGGTCGCCTCAACACCTTCAGCGCGTACCTCAGTGGTCCCCGACTGGCAAGTGTTCTGTGGACATCCAGCGCTGCTACTGCACATCCACTCTGAGCCCCAATATTCCCCAGGGTGAGCCAGTGCACGAGCCCCACACCTCGGGAGGCAGTGTAGGCTCAGTGTTCCAGCCACTGCACGAGCCTCAGCGGCACCATGGTGG